ATATATATATATATATAAGTTTTGATCTCCCTGCTCTTGCTTTTATACAATATCAGCATTCATCGAACGCACCATGAAGTCAGGGAGGATTGCTGGGTAAGCACAATATCACTCTCAATCAATGCCTTTTATCACAAGTCCAAACACTTTGAACACAGATGGCTGCAGACTGACGAGGAAGTGAGGACGATCACAAAGCGCAGCAGAAATGAAGCTCATAGAGACACAGCTCCTCTCGCAGTAACCCGGGTACAATTTGACTCTGACTCCGTGGACTAATGAGGCACTGTGAATGATAAGACGCTCACAAATACAGTTTGTGAGGGCGTGGGCTGAGAGTTTGGGTCTCTCCAAAGAACAAAAACGTAGTGTGTTAAGACCGACAAAGGAACGGCTGCTTTTGGAGACTATGAGAAAATCCTGCAAGTAGAGCAAAAAAGAAGCCAAAGCCTGCATAAAACGAGTTTAACACTTCTGCAGGGAAGAACCCATTTGTTTTTAAATGAAAGATTTTGAAGATGGAGTGGTGTGATTCACTTTAAGATGCAATAGCTGTGCTGTGATATTCATCTTCAGTTTTATTTGAAAAAGCCTCTCACCTTTGGTGCAGAACGGCCCGTTGAAGGCAGTGGTCGTGCAGTCGCACAAATAGCCGTTATACCTCTCCACACACTTCCCCCCATTCCTGCAGTACATCCCAAAACTGGTGCAGTGGCCCTGGCAACCCGGCTTCACCCCAGGCGTCACTTTGGCCCTCTCCTCCAAGTCGAGGGTGACGCCATTCATCCGCAAGGCTCGGATACAACCCAGGAACCCCCTCTGTCCCCCTGCAGCACCTGAGGAGCAGAAATAAAACAGAGAGAAGTGTAAAATACTGTCTGACAAACAAAGTTCAGGGTTACAGAAAGTGATTCCAAATGCGAGAGGCTCTGTTTTAATCAGTTCTGGAAACGTTAATATCCTAAAGCCGGGAGGAAGCCACTGATGTTATGCTAATCGCTCAGACTGCAGAGTCGTTCTTGAAACAACCTTCAACTCGTTTGATTCTTTCACTAATTAGAACAGCTTAATGAACACACCGCCTTAATGAACATCTCACAAGTATACGCGTGCTAATAGATGCAGGTAAGCTACATGCTACACACAAACAAACACACGCCACACACAATGCACTGGATTTCAATGAGTCAATACAAACATTAACGTTTAGCCTTGGGGTGTCGATAGCCATTTTTTCCAAAGTGCTCCTATTGTCATTCTGGCCGTGCACCATTACAGTATAACTACCCATTAACTTAGACAAGGCAGGAGTGTTAAATAGATGAATTTGCACCTAAATGACTGAAGCAATAAACACTTCCATAAACATGCACCTGCAGGTATTGAATCAAATACACAAGTACACGTACTGAGGAAAGACATGCAAGTATGTATACACCCTCATGGGCGCTATCAACAAGAGCCATGGGACGTTTTAGTTATTAAAAGCTTTAAATTGCATCCCAGAGCTTACAGAAAAGTGCCCATTAAAGAAATGAAACATCTAAAGAAACCTGAACCCACGGTTTCCTTCTTTATCAGCGTTTTCACTTAAAGAAGAAGCAGGAAGAGCTACAGAGTGGAAGATTACAACCACTCACAACGCTTCTCTCCAGCCAACGCATTATTCACGAGTAAAGATGCAGGTGGGTTTTCACCTGCTTTCTCTGCTTTCCAGTCTCATAAAGAATTAGACTCTTAGTAGACCTCTTAATTAATCTATTTTGTAGCACTGATTGGCTGGAGGTTTCTGCCACCTGTTTACCCGGGGCTAAATCAGTCTCTGATTAAACGGACAGCAGGCTCCGAAGCCTACAGAGACCGAGGCGGGCACGGACGCACCGGCGCACATCGATGCACAGGTGCATGCCACTTCTCTATACTTCGTAAATGCTACATTAATAGAGCTCGATGGATAGTGACTAAAGTCTGTCACTCACACGCTCACACGTGTGGTCCCACAGAAAGTTTAAGTGCAACTACAAGTTTCTGGCGTTTGGAAAATCAAACATTTTGTAACAGTACATATTAATTTAAATTCAATTCAGTTTATTTATATACAATACAGTAGTGCCCAATCACAGCAGAAGTTGTCTCAGGGTACTGTATATGAGTACAATTGAGTATAGAATAAAAAAATTAAGTACTTGTATTAAAACAAGTACTTTTGTTGTAATGGAGCATAAATTTAGCTGTCATCAGCATAAAACATGAAAAGTAACACCATGTTTCCAGAGACTATATCCCAGAGGAAGTAAATACTGTAAAGGCAAAACTGAAGGGGAGCAAGTATAGATCCCTGAGGTACTCCACACGAGAGGCATTACAGAGGACTCAACAGCACCTAAAACGCACACGCTTCTCCCTGTTAAATAAGATCTAAACCACTGTAGAGCAGGACCCTGAATGTCCACCCAGTTCTCCAGGCGAGACATTAGGATCTGATGGTCCACTTTATTAAAGCACGGGGGTGAGCATATCATGGTTTGCTCAGGTAAAAATAAAATAAGGTACGCAACTATAAATGCATTTTTCAAAAATGTTTTTAGTTTCATGTTGAAGTCCATATAATTAAAATAATCTACAATTATGTTATTAACATATACCGTCTTTGACTATAAAGTTTAAACCTTCAAACGTGAATAAACACAAATACTGTTTGGTGCTACGAATAAATGTTACCTACTGTCTTGGCAGGTGAGCGAGGCTGGTTTTCCTGTGCCAGGTGTCACACACATGCAGTGAGCAGGAGCATGCAAGAATGCAATCCATGAAGACAGAAGCAAACAAAAAGCAATGCATAAAGAAAAGAAATCAACAATAACGTAAAAAACGTAGACAAACACAAAGATACATGTGAGGATGACTAATCAAGATGGAAATCCAGACCCAGATGGTAGCATAAAGGTAATAAAACATTGTAAGGTTTTTAGTTATGTGCACGTATGGGAAGCTAAAAGTTAACCGTGTGAAGTAAATGACAGCAGGCTGACGGTGTAGCATTTACTTTCAAGGCCATTAGAGCAAATGAGCCACTGTGCAGTAAACACTAAAGCAATCAAACGCTTGACAAGAAGCATATTGATCAAGAGGGAGTGAAGGGGATGACACAGAGACAAAAATACAAGCAAGGTAGGCAAAATAAAGACACTTATTTGATGTCTTTGCTGTGCGCTTGTGGGAAACACAACAGATCATTTTAAGTGGTCCTTTCAAGAGCTAATTTGTACCTTAAAGATTTGTTGCAGCAGAAATGAAAGTGGCTTTTTTTTTTTCCGAGATACTGGCTTGCTTCATATTTTCCCACTTTAAACTGTCAAATAAATGAAAACCAGAGACAACTACTGCGTGTAGGGATTTATTTCTCTTGTTGCTTTACAACTTGGAATTCGGTGCTTGTGTCCAACAGTTTTACACCAAACCAGTGATTCTCAGTTGGACTGAGTCTAGGCTTTGATGGGACATTTAACTGGATCTCCTTGAACCAGTGGAGGCCTGCTCCAGCTGTGTGTTTTGGGTCGTTGTCTTGCTGGAAGGAGAACTTCTGTCCCAGTCTCAAACTGTAGAAGACTCCAACAAGTTCCTCGTAATAATTTCTCAGTTTTCAGCTCAGTCCACCTTTTCTTTAACTTTGACCAGTTTCCCAATCCCTGCGGATTAAAAACAACTCTACATCATGATGCTGCCACCACCATGTTTCACTGTAAAATTATGTTTTTAACATTACAATGACCTAAAGGTTTAAGTTTGGTTTTATTTTACCACAACTTACCGTCATATTTGGGAAAATCAATCCCAAAATAATATGTATTATTTAATGTTTTTTTTTTTCCTGCTACACTTCTCAGCTATGAGATATCTTTGATAAACCAATCATTATCTACATTTTTCCAACTTAGTCTCTGACCTTTGTGAAGAGTTCTTGGTCTTCATGATATCTTTTTTGGTTGTAGTCCTTAATAGAAATGTTAAACTGGTGATGAGCATGGGAGAAGTTCATACAGGTGTTTACCAGATTCAGATCATTTGACACATACATCGCTCACAAGTTGATCTTATTTAACAATCACCGTATTTTCCGCCGTGCACGTCACACTGCTGTATAAGTTGCATCAGTCCAAATATGTCTAATAAAGTGGAAATAAACATAAATACGTCACATCTATTATGCATCACTGCTGACCACCCAGAAATGTGGGCTGGTGTTGTGCCAAAAATCGATTGGCTGCCAAATGGCGGCCGCGGGACAGTGCACGGAAGGACTTTAACAAGAATTTAACAAGCTTAACATTTAAAAACAATTATTTGTTATTTCGAAATTATAGCAAGGGTGTGTCTCAGTCTAACTTTTGCTTAATAAATGCACTTTGACAGTCAAATCATTTGCATTTCAAAAGCTGATTTGCGGATGGGAGCGTGCAGAGGGACGACTCTCTGTACATTTCTTCTAAATTTAACAAGATAAACACCTAAAAACAATTATTTGTTTGCTCGACATTATACTAAAGGTGTGTCTCGGTTGAACTTTTCCTTAATAAATGCACTTTGACGATCAAATCAGCTGCATTTCTCCTGGGTGGCACAGCAAAAGGCTGATGATTTGACGTTTGCTCCAGGAGTTCCAGAGCGAGATGAAGGTGGCCCTGTATGGCAAGCCAAGTGTCTCATTAATAGCCACTTTTACCTATTAATGAGACACTTGGCTTGCCATATGAGTCGAGGGCCCTCTACTGGCTGAAAATGGTAGTGTTTAATATTTTCTATGTCAGAATGAATGAAATAGTCAGATCTCAGCCAAAAATTGGGTTATAAATATGGGAAAAAAACGTATATTAGTCGTTTCTGTGTATAAGTCACAGGACCTGCAAATTTGTGCAAAAAGGTGCGACTTATACAGCGGCAAATACAGTAAGACATGGGCACCAGTGACCCCCGCGACCTGAAATGGAAGAATCAGGTACAGATAATGAATGGATGTACTACTGAATGTAAAGTTTGGGAATTCAAAGCAAAGGAGCTGAATACATAAGCACACACCACTTATTCCGCTTTTAAAAATGATTTCAAACTAGCTGTCCTCCCATTTAACTCTATTAATCTGGTGTGTTTTTGGAAAATGATTGCTTTTAATCAAATAAAAAGTACAATTACAGGTTGTGTAAGGAAACAAAACACAAAGAAGAGGGATACATACTCCTACAACCTGTATACTGTGTTTCAAGTGTGCCATTGTAAGGCACAATCAAGGGAATCTTGTTGCCTGCAGAACTTTCTTTCCTCTGTCCAAATCTCTGGCTCAAACACAGTAAGATTTTATCTACAGGCCAAACGTGGACCTCTCCCTGCGAGTGGTCAGGTCACTTCCTTTGTATTTTGCTGTAACTTCTCAAGGCGATGCTCTATTCAGGATTAAACGGAGATTAGCGACCAGATACGAGATGGTGCCGTCACCTCCTGGGCTGAGCTTACTCACAATCCGTCGCTTGCTTACTCTGGAGAAAGCAGGACAGAACACCCTGAGCTCCGAAAAGAGTAAACACAGACTGCTTTAGAGGCTGTGGTTAAAGCTCGGTATCTGGAAGCCATTCTTGGTTTTAAACGCACACGCTCCACAAAGACAAAGCTGTTCTCGCCTTTTCCCGATTAGTTCAACGACAGCACAAATGTACTCCAAGCGCTCTTGGTTCACGATAAGGGGAGGATGTTCCAATCAGCAGAAGCGACGAGAGGGGAAGGAATTATGTAACAAACGGGGATCAGGAGTGTTAATGTTATCACTTTGGAATGCCTGATTGGAATTGAGAACAATCTCCTTCAAGCAGAACTTTCTCCATGAGATATAAGGAAGTCTATGATTTGCCTCAGCACTTTTCCCTCCATCCACAAATCCCCGAAAACGCTTTTGGTCAGCGAAGCACTCACAGCTCAGCACAAAGGGCGAAAAAATGAAACAGAAAGAAAATCACAAGAAGGAAACCAGACATTCTGTCATTTGAACTCCTGATCAGCTTGAGGCGTCGCACAGACCAGGATGAAAACTTTCCCAGTAATATTAAAGCAGAACTTGATAATCTCTTTGTGATGTTAATCCACAGTAATATAAATGCTGATTAAAGTATTAAAGTCAGCTCAGAAATGACAGCTAAAAAAAAAGTTTGTTTTAAATTTATTAAAACTTTGATCACCAATGTGGCTGACTTTCCATGAATTTGTGCAAATGAAACGCGTCTGTGTGCGGCTTAATTAATGATGGCTGTCGCTAAGCTTTAAGGATGTAATTTCCAGCAAAGCTACCACATATTCAACGTATGAAACAATCAGCTGCTCCCACTGCGGTTGTTTTTAATCTTAGAGTAGCAGAACGGAAAATACACTTTATACAGGAAGTTTTTAAACAAGAGTCAAATATCAAAGTTCATGCTCAATCATCCAGGTACAAAATCCACTGTGCAGTCTGTCCCTCACCTGAGGTTTACCAAATGTTTGGAGTCTGTGTGTGTTTGTGTCGTACCCACGTAGAGCTGGCTGAACAGCTCTAGTCGTGTGTGTCCCTGTGCCGGAGCCAGCTGGGACGTCCGGTACGTTTGGTCCAGCTGGAGGACTGCTTCTTTGATGTTACGCTCCGCCATCACGCGATGCCACTGGTCGTCGTTGAGGGGTGTGGCCGAGTGCACCGTTAACTCCACGGGTCCGTTTCCAACGTCGAAGGAGAAGGAGATCACCTTAGGAGCTGCAGAAAGAGGGACATGAATCTTATGTATTTTTTAATTTATTGATTCATTCCAGACACGTGAAAACCATTGCACACTGCACAGGGTGTACCAACACCAGTATGAATCTGTGCATCCATCCATACATACATATATATATCTACATGTATACATACATGCACATTTGAACACACACAACCCCTTGCAAAACAAACCCACATCTGCAAATGCATCTGCTTTGACTGAACACACACAAAATAACAATAAAAAAGTTTATACCCAATGTGCACACACCTATCCGCGTACACATACCTGTATACAGTACATGTACACACACAAATTCCATTTAACATGTCTGAAAATATATAAATATATTTGTAATGTATTGTATATACATAAACAGCTTTGAAACTTCCCAAATCCCCAAACTTGGTGTAATCTGTAGGTAGACGAGCGTTCGGTCTCCAATCTAACGGCTCGTTAGTTTCAGAGCTGCTCGTTTGGCTTGTATGGACTTTAATTCTGCGATACGAGAGCGCACACAGCTTTGGATGAGACTAATCCCGCAGGTCGTCTATAGGTGTCAGGACCTGTCGGTTCTGCATAACAAGATGTTGGGTTGCTGCATCCCCTGGTTCTGTTGGGGGATCAGGAAGCCACCCGCCGTGGGAATAAATGGAGAACAGAGAATCTGTATCAGTTTATTCATTAAATAAATGTTCATCGTCTTCATCTAGCTCAGTTATTTCTTGCTACCACCAACGTTATTTTTATTTTAAAAACCTTTATTTTATTAATTGTTGTTACTCCTTGCACTGATCTAATGTAACGCACGGACCCTTCAGTTGGAGATGAACTCTGTCTTGTGCGCATGTTGTCACGTGCTTTCGTTAAAGCTCTATCACTGTTAGGGAGGCTAAAACACACTCCTATTTGAACTTGAGAACGAGAGAGCACTCCTCGCCTCATCTGCTGCTACACCAAGAGACGTCTCCGCCTCAGACTCCTCCAGCCTGACATGCACCCGCTCACATTCCTACTTCTGTTTCTTTTTGTGACAAAGCTTCTTAGATACAGTGAACCTGCCAGCTGAAGACAGCACTGAAGAGCCCACATCTCTCTTTTAATCTCTCACAGACTAAATATGTGAGTAACACCAAGTCTGAAGATGATCTATCATTCGAGTGTCAAGGACAAACAAAAACACCGTCTGAGAGCATTTTTAACTCGTATCATCATCGTGAAAGCTCTAGAAGAAAGATGGATGAATGAATCAATTTTTCTTACACTTTTTCTGGTTAAAAATTCAAGGCTATTCATGAAACCCATGATCCAGGCCTAAATTGATTTCTCTTTTTCACTCACTGGTCCATCCTACTTTTTAAATTTTTTATATGTAAAAAAAATAAAATAAAATTACAGAAACATTCTCCTGGATAAAGTCAAGGTTGGACCAAAATGGCTACAACTATGCCATTCCTCCGCAAAAGATCATCCTTTATGATTTTAATTACCGTATTTTCCGGTGTATAAGTCGCTCCGGAGTACAACTTGCAGCAGTCAATAAAAGCATCATGAAGAAAAAAACCACAAAAGTTGCTTCAGCGTATAAGTCTCATTTATTATGCATCACTGCTGATTCGTCGTGTTTATTGTGCGTTTATTTAATAGTCAAAACAGCTTCATTTCGCCTGGGCGGCGCCATCCATCCATCACAGCCGGAGCCGCTCGCTCTCCAGCGTTCCTCCACCTGCACCAGCTGAGTGAAGCGAGCGTAGAGGACTCGCTGTTGCAGTGCTTCCAAATTTAAAGCGCCAATCAAAAATTGTGTTATAAATATGGGAATAAAAACAAACACATGTAAGTCTCAGGACAAATCTGTGCAAAAAAAACTACAACTTAAACGCTGGAAAATACGGTAATAATTTGGCATGAAAACTAGTGGGTGATATGCATTCCTCCAAGGAGTGCTACACCTTAAATTGTTCTCTGAAAGGGCCTGCATGGTTTAGAGGGTTAACACAACTTACTGTCCCCCGTCGAGGAACCAAAAGGGGGCATTGGAAATACCTTTCTTTCATCTGTCCATCAGTGAATGTTGTGAGAGCGATAACTTGAAAAATAAACGAGATACCAATTTCCATTTTAGCGTGTCGCCACATCTAGGCGTAAGAAAGGTTCCCTTCAAAAATTGGGTCGCCACGTCAAAATCCAAGATGGCCACACTATGTGTGTAAACTGACCACATCATTTCAGGAAACTATGCTTTCTAGTTTTTACATTGCTTAAAAGTACAGTTTTCTCAAATGATTGAGGTGGCCAGTGGGGTGGCTGAAGATTACTCTATGGGGGCCATGACCACCAATGGCCACTCCCTGGCTCTGGCGTTGGATACATTTGCTCCCTGTGCTCGCCATGATCCATCATAATTATTATACACAGAGCAACTCCTACCCACTTTAATCTCTTGCACCAAAAACATTAAGGTTTACTTGTATTTCCTGTTCAATTAGTCCAGAAAAACACTCAGCTCGTAAACTACAAACATTCACTATCACATGTTTTATAAGTAAAGCAAAGCTCCAGAAATCTAGTGTAAACACGTTGATCTTTGTGTTTTTATGTGTTTGCGTGCGTAGCTGTTTCAACGTTGGTGCACAGCAAAAGTGCACGCCCTACAAGTTTCTTTCCACGGGCAGAAATAAAAACTCAAGTCCCCCCAGAACACAGAGCACGCCTCATTTACCCGTGCAGCTGAGAAGTGTCATGAGGTAAATGTGTGTGTGTAGTTGTAATTTAATGTCGGTATGCGCGCCTAAACTTTTGAGTTAGCTCGGAGGCTTTTTACTTTTGAAATCTGGGTTTGTGTTTATCGTTTCACACGGAGGCAGGTTTTAAATTATGTGCTGCAGCTCAGCACAACTGAATGATGATGAACGGTGAGGAAGGTGTCTTTGTGTGTAAAGATCCCCCCGTGTGTGGGAGTGGATATGTGTAGCTGCGTGTTTGTCTAATGTGGAGTTCAGTTTAGCTGTTCTTCATCTATTTTCAGACGCCTGGCAGCATCTTATTGCTTCCATCTCCTCTTCTGTTGTGCAGCTAATTTTTTTGTTGTTTGTCTCATTTGCTTTGTTAGCCTTTTGCTCGAAGCCCCTTTAAGGATTTAAACCCAAATCAAACTCAAAGCCGCACGGTTAAGCTGCTACTTTTGAAGCCGAAGCTGAACATAAACTTTCAAAATTAAAGGGTGACACGAAGGATTATCAGTTCTAAACTAAGATCGTCTTCTGTGGGGAAATGACAACGTTGATGCTGTTTGCGCATTATTATCTTGTTTAGTGATTAGAGTGTTGGGAATGACTGTCAGCTACTACCACACCAAATTTTAGCGTAACATCTGTATAATTGACCCAGTCAGACATTTTTGTATTCAACAGGATCGCTTTGCTGTGGCGACCATCTTGATTTGTCTTTTTTTTTTTCCTCCTTGCTCTCGGCGAAGGCGGACGCATTTCTTCCTGCTCCTTCCCCTGCTTTCATTGTGTCACCTGTATGTTGCTTTTTTTTTGTGCAGAGATTTTTGGCAACCTCACACTGTGTCCTGTTAGGGATGCAGTGTGAGATGTGAATTTTTTTAACCTCTTCTTTCCCTCGTGTTGCTTTTTTCTTATCAAACAAAAAAGGCAGCGCCTCTCATGAGGCTGCAGCCTCAGGCACTCCCGTCTTCTCATGTCAATGTTGTTTGGTTGTTTGTGCTTCTTGTACGCGCTGTACTGAAATGTAATTTGGTTGTGCTTCGGTGCAATGACAATAAAGATGATTCTGATTCTAAATACTTCAACCCATTAATTAATATCTTATAGTTAATTAGACTTTATTTAGTGATTTAGGCGATGTGCTTACAAAAGAAGATTTGATACTCGTGAACTTATCACCGGTCAACCACAGCGTTTAAAGTCTGCTCTTTTATTCCCAGGTGGAGAGAAGACTCGCGCCGACACGAATAACAGCTGAGTAGAATAAAGTTTTACCATTTAATTTCTTTTAAGGCAGGAAAAGTTACAGGACCAGCGCTGAGGCTTCGACGAGGGTCCCGGATGACAAAGCGCTGATCACCAGAAGTGTCCGTCCCTATATTCTCTAGGCTCCTCCCCTTAAAGGGGGCGGGAGCTCGGCATCTCGTGTATCAGTTTATATTTATGTGTGCCAATAAGGCTTATCTGGTTCAGTCACTTCCTGTTTTCTCTTTAACACTTTAACATCATCTGAGGACATATGTGACAAACTCAAAGGTATTATTTCTGGTTTCTGTTTCGACGACTGGATCTTATGACCTGTTGTTCTGGCTCCTGCTCTGAGTTATGGAGCAAACTTTAAACATCGACTCTCGGATGCATACATGCGCTGATGGCTTGCTGGGCCCGGACTGGTCTGCAGGTCTGATCCGGTGCATCAGATAAATAATTTTAGTTTATGTCAATGGGGCTGCAGCTTCCTCAGACTCCTTAACTCTGAAGGTGCAACCTGCAAGGGCATTATTTTTAGTTCCTTTAATATTTTTTAAATAACAAATGCAACTAAAGAAATTTGACCAAAAAAGTCTTGAGCTCACCTTTATTTAAAACAATCCATCACAACTCATATACAGTAATCCAGACCCCCTAATCTAGACTTCTTGCGGAGGTTTAAAACTAATGATTGTTATATTTTCAGCTGATAAACCATTTAATCCAACCGTAAGGAGATTAGAGAAAACTGCAGCCTGGTTGTACAGTTTGGACAATGACAGGTTTCTATAAGCCAAGACGTCCAGTAGATCTTTCCTCTGCTGGATACCTGACTCAAATTTAACCCTGCGGGTAAGACAGCATCTAGAAATGCTGTCTCTTGAGGACTCAAAAAGTGGCACATGGAACACACTTTCCCTCGAGCCACAGAAAATTCACAAAATCAAGCATCTGTGGCTTAGAGGCTTTTCTATTTGTTCCCAGTTCAGACATTCTGAATAAGACATCAGCGC